GTTTTGACCATAATTCCGCGGTTTTGACTGAACCTGCAGCAGTAGTAACACTTGGACGCGCCGGTATGCCGACATTGTTGCCGGTTACTCACGGGAACATTGTGGCGAGGTCGGCTAAATGATGTCACTGTAGGTCCTGCAGCGACCGTACAAAGTGAGCTGCTGCTCGTAGCTGCATAGTTTTTTTCGGTGTCCATAAACCCAAAGATAGTCTACTTGAGGCATAGCGTGTTGATCAGGGGTAGCCGTAGTAGGCGTGTGCGCAGATCACAGGGGAATAGGCCGTCGATGAATCGCCTACGCACCATTCTTTCGCCGTTGGCCACATCCTCAAAGATGTCAGCACGAAGAAACACAGCATGCGGAAAGTGTAGTCAGAATGAGGAGCTCTCTCCAGGCAATTATCGTCACCTGAGGATTTTCAGCACCACGTGATCAGGGCTCAATTACTAGTCGAATCGGGAGTCTCGTATGCTCCAGACTTGATGGCTGGGTGTTCTGCTTTAGCATCCAGCGTCGTTGGTTCATGTGCAGGCTTCATCAGAGAGGATATTGAGGATGAATGCATAATGGTGACGCAGATAGGCTATCGTGTGCGGTTTTGTGTGGTTGTGTTATGCATGGTTTGCATGCAACTGTGATGAATTTAAGTGTAACATCTGACTATTCTAACTTTGTTTCACTGTGTTTTTATACAGATGCAATGCTCTTTTCGATGTACACTCTCTTGAGACTGGTTAGCCACCGATTTGGTTATCAGTGACTACGATCTCTGGGTCCAATGCATTTCTTAATTTGTGGTCATACGCACAATATTTTCTCGCTCACAGTATGGTATTCTGTGTTTCTTGTGATCTAACTGTGGCAAACCGTGACAACAATGTGTCTCGCTAATGAGGCCATTTTCCGGAATTTCATCTCGGGTAATCAGTGCGAGCGGAAGCAGCACATATGTAGGAAGATGCGAACGCATTGGAAGACTTTCAAAAAGTGAGGACCTTATAAATTGCTAAAAGTGACAACCTTTTTCACATACCTGTATGTGGCTGCGTTCACATGCAGAGGAAAAGTCGGTGAATGAGACATTGTATGGTAGTGAGAAAACTTTGTGGAACTTTCATCCGTATTTCTGAACTGTGGCAGCCCAAAACGAAGCCACCTAATGAACGAGTTGATGACCTTGACAAGTTTATATACAAAAATTGGTTTGACCTGACTATAAGGACTTCTGTGGGACACTGGGAGGTTTCTGGCAACATATACAAGAATATTATCCTATGTAATCATATTTTAACATTGCATTACTTGTATATACTTTTGTTTCAGATTGCGCACTTCTATTTCTCACGAATCTTATTGGTTGCTATGTACGCGCGCGCTAGGTACGCGGGCGCTTCGAAAAGGAGAGTGGCATTATTTACGTTGTGAAGTAACTTCTGCTTTTGTTGTGTAAATCGCATCAGAAGCTTTTTGGTTTACTTTAACTGGTTTAATTAGTTGAAGTAGTGTCTATTTTCGTGCACTTTTGTGACTTTTTGTGTTTTTATATCTCTGTATTTAGGTATATATGTATATACATATTTGTGTGTAACTTAAGCAGCTTATACTGACATGATTCCCACAAATAGTTGTGGACGACCGGACTGCCACTCTCCGGTGGAGGATGGGATGCAGTGTGATAACTGCAACCTATGGTTCCATAAAGTTTGCACTGGCTTATCACCATCAGCCTATAGGAGAAGCAGCAAGCCGTCATCTCCATGGATGTGCAAATTTTGTGCAACCCGTTGGATGTCCTCATCCAAGAGGCCGTAGGACTTCTCGTGTTGAAGAAGTTACCAAAAACCTCTGATGAGGGAAAAAATGCAACATCTAGTACAGATGTTATAAACGAGGATTCTGGCCTTAATCATAAAACTGAGGCAGAACCACATCCCCTAGCTTCGAAAGAAGCAACAGAGGTGAAGTGTACCCAGCAGTCTGCAATAGCACGTAAAAAGCCCCGAAAACCTAGGAGGGCAAACAGTGCCAACATTGTAAGACAGCAGGGTGATACCACAGCGATGAAGCGTTGCGTGTCTGGTGAACGCACAGCTTCCAACTGCGGCGAGAGTAAAGTGGAACCATCTGATTCCACCTGGCTAGTGCCGAAGAGTAGGAAGCTCAAGAATCACAGGAAAGAGAAAAGTACTGTGGTTAGTGATAAGGTCTCAACGGCCGTAAACACTGACAAGATTAAACCTTCGGACTCAAACTACAGAATAGTAATTTGGAATTTGGAGGAATCGAAGAAGGTAGATCCAGCTGCTCGACATGCTGACGATCTCGAAATAGTTAGCTCCATCATCCGTGAAATACTTCCGGAAAAAGAGAATGGTGTTCACATAAGGAAAGTCATCAGAATCGGTAAACGAATCGCCGATGCAACGGAAAGTTTCCCACGACTGCTGAAGGTAGTACTGGGGAACGAAATGGAGAAAACTATTATTCTCAACAACGCATTCAAGATCAAGAATAAAAAAAATGAGAATTAGGCCAGACTGGCCTTTGGAAGATAGAATTAGGAGAAGAGAAGCTGTGGCTGAATTAAAGGCCCGATTAGAAAAAGGTGAAAAAGACATCAAACTGTTGGGTTTTCGGGTAGTGAGGTCTCGGAAACCTATGTTACCCAGACCTCTGTTCATAAGTCGAGTGAACACAGGTCTCAGTATGCTACACGAACGCTTGTAGTCTCAAGAATAAGCTTCCTGAACTAGGAGTGTTGACTGAGGAACTACAGCCGGATGTGATTGCTATCACCGAAACATGGCTGTTAATGGGTACAGACTTAACTCCACTCATACCTGGGTACATCTGCATTAGAGCAGACAGAGTAAGTAGGCGGAAAGGTGGGGGGGTCGCTCTATACATTCGAGATGACATAGGAATTAGGTCGACGTTGTCGGAAGCTCAAGACAGTGGCACCTGTGAAGCCGCAGGTTGTGTCATTAACTTGAACAAAGGCACTGTAACGATAGGGATTATTTATAGAAGTCCTACCAGTCAAGCTGACAATTTCGTTATAAATCACCTCAGGACGTGGAGTAGAAAGAATAGGTGTAGGTTATTTTAATGCCCCGCATATTAATTGGGAGAAATTAACATCAACTACTTCGTACAATTGTTTCAATAGGGAACTAATACTGGCAGTACTTGAATGTGCACTTGTGCAGCATATGGATGCACCAACACGATACCATCCTGAACATGATCCGTCCACTCTAGACTTGGTGCTAACACACCAGAAGGAGGATGTTGGTAACATTAGGTGCCTGGCGCCGCTAGGCAGTAGTGACCACATAGTTATTACTTTTATGTTCAGAATCCAGGCGGTCATACATAGGTCAACAGCCGCTCGCCCAAACGTTTGGAAAGCGAATATACATGCAATCCGAAATGCAGCAACCCTAGCTGACTGGTCTGTTAACACACACCAGACTGTTGAGGAGGCTTGGATGGGATTTAGGAATATACTAGAGTGCGTCACTGCACCCTTTGTACCTTGGTCTACGCCTCGAAAATTATCTCATAAACCACCTTGGATTAGTAATGAAATAAGGAGGTTACTAAGAAAACGTAAGAACTTATGGGACCGGTTTGCTGTGACTGGGAGGGATGAGTTTCGGGTAGAATACCGCAAAGTTCGAAACCTTTGCAAGTATGAGATTGACAAAAGTCGTATAGAGTATGAGAGACAGTTAGTACTGGATTGTGTGCATTATCCCAAAAGACTGTTCTCGTATATCAAACGTAGGACTAAAACTAGTAGTGGCATACCGTCCCTCATTAGCAACACTGGAGAGGCTGCAGAATCAGACGAAACAAAAGCTGAGGAGCTCTCCGAATATTTCTGTGATGTTTTTTCGTCTAATCGTACCACCCAGGGGTGTAGCGAGGTAACTGGTGTAGCCCCTAAAATGCCCCCAATTGTGGTAGATGATGCAATGGTTCTGAGACTGCTGTCTAAGTTGAAGCCAGGTAAATCACCTGGACCAGACGGACTTCACCCTAGATTGCTAAGCTCCCTGGCGGATATAATATACATTCTACTTACGGAGATTTTTCAGATGTCTCTGACCCAGGCTAGGTTACCCAGAGACTGGAAAGATGCTTTTATAAGCCCCATCTTCAAAGATGGGAGTAGACAGTTAGTATCTAACTACCGCCCTGTAAGTCTGACCTGCATTATAGCAAAGGTGTTAGAAAAACTCATAAGGGACCAGCTCTTAGCTCATACGGAAAAACATGGCTTACTGGCAGTGGAACAGCATGGATTCCGACCAGGACGATCCTGCTTGACAAACTTACTGTTGGCTAGGGAAGATTGGGTCGAGGCCAGTGATAGGATCCCACACACTTTGTTATTGTTCAATTATCTTAACGACTGTTAATCTCGCATAAGTTGTATATCATCAATTCTCACACACTTTGTTATTGTTCAATTATCTTAATGACTGTTAATCTCGCATATGTGTTATATTATCATTTCACAGGCACTTTGTTATTGTTCAATTATCTTAATGACTGTTAATCTCGCATAAGTGGTATATCATCATTCCCACGCATTTTGTTATTGACTATTACGACCAATTATTTCAAATACTGTTAGCTGTCTCTCTTGGTTGTAAAATTGTATAAATACCATTTCCTAAATAAGTTATTTGTCGTCGTTGTTGTCGTTGTTGTAGTCGTCGTCGTAGTCGTAGTTGTTGCACTACAATACACAGTCACAGACCAGACTTTGTCTTTTGATATTTGCGTGGTTCGCTGAATCGGAAGGTACCAGAAGCAGATAGGCATATTAGTCAGGCGCAGACAGAATAAGCCAACAACGTCCCCATCTAATTCCCCCCTACAGTTACAACAAATTGGCGACGCGGTTTATCTCAATTCATTACGGTAATAACAGCCAGGGATAAAAACCATCTACTGGACGTTGTATTTATCGATCTTAGTAAAGCATTCGATAAGGTATCCCACTTAGGTCTTCTTAGTAAACTTAAACATTTTGGATTAGACCAACGCTTATGCGAGTGGTTTAGTGATTACCTGATGAATAGGAGGCAGAAGGTAAGGGTTAATGGTGTACTGTCAGGGTGGAAAGCAGTACTAAGTGGAGTACCTCAGGGAACGGTACTTGGCCCCCTGCTATTCTTATTATACGTAAATGAAGTGCCAAAAATTCTTACCTCATCTTCCTTACTATTTGCGGACGATATTAATATATGGAAAACCGTAAATAGTAGCAATGATAGGTCGGTACTATAAAACGATCTAGACAAATTAACCGAATGGGCTAACCTTTGGAGTCTGGAAATTAATTCCAAGAAAAGCGCGGTAATGCACCTAGGTCAGAAGTCTTACACGTCGTACTCCATGGGGGACACAGAACTGCCAGATGTTAGGGAACAAAAGGACTTAGGAATTATTGTTAGCCATGACTTAAAAACAACGGCGAACTGTAATCGAGCCGCAGCTAAGGCTTTTCGAATGCTATGGGCACTTCGAAGATCTTTCAAACGATTAGACGAGGGTATTTTCCAAGTACTCCATGCAACATATGTCAGGCCTCATCTAGAGTACTACATACAAGCGGCGAGTCCATGCTTCAAAAAGGAGGCACATACCCTGGAAAGAGTACAGAGGATAGGAACCAAATTAGTTAGTGGTATCTCACACCTTCCTTATGATAAGAGGATGGAGCATTTAAATCTCTTCCCATTATCATACCGAAGGAGGAGAGGCGACTTAATTTTGGCTTACCGTATATTCAAGGGTGACTTAGGGATTGGCCTTTCAAACCTTTTCTCTCCCTCTAGGATACATTTACGGGGTCACCAGAAGAAGGTGCTCAAACCAAGGTCGAATAAAATACGTTTGGAGTTTAGATTCTCTCACAGAGTGGTCAACGACTGGAACTCCTTACCTGATTCAGTAGTAACAGCTCCATCGGTGAACGCTTTCAAAGAGAAACTGGATCTCTGCAGAAATATATATCGCGAGGATTAACATAGGCAACAAGAGCCTTCTATCCTTATAATCTGAATCTGAATCTAGGGGTAGATTCGTTTTAAACTGCTACAGTTTGGAAACACACTTTCATCTAGCCTGTATGTTTCGCTCTAATATTTTCGTCCCTCACACCACCAACGAAGTATTGTTAAATGTATTCTTGTAGTATTATTCAACCGCACAGTTACTGGAAGTTGATAATATTATGTATGCGTAATATTCATGATAACTTCTTCACCATAAGCCTACTCCACATTTCAAAAGAAGTGTAAACTATGATGCCTGATGTCATCAGTGAAGAGCAGAACTGTGGTTTGCAACTCCGTACAGAATAGTTGTATATGGTATGACACGTCGATACGATGTTGTTTATATACTCATTAGGTTTCGAGCAGAATTTATTGCCCATTATCATGAGCATAAAGTATTAGTAAAATCTAATCATTAGCGGATGATTTCCTCGCAATGCCAGGCTGTGAGTCACTTCCCTACAGATGCCCCTGAGTTTTATACAAACCCTCCTCATCGATCGTAAGTGTGACACAACAGTTCTCTTATCATGTTTAGCTTACTACAGCGTACTTCAAACGTGACCGTCATGCACACACTAAGTCGAAAGTTTATATTCACAAGACATCAAATAGCACATTGATTACTTTTGTCTGCAAATTTCATAAGATAACTGAGGATGATGCATAGATAAGGTAATCTTGGGATATTTATTCATTATTATTATATTATTGTTCCGTTGGGTTCCTAGTGGAACATAGGGCTTCAACTGCACGTCTCCACTTGCTTCTGTCTTCTGCTGTTCTTTTCACTTGCGTCCATGTTATTCCATACTGTTTCATCTCCTCCTCACACGATCTCCTCCATGTCACCCTTGGACGTCCCACTCGCCGCTTCCCTTTCGGGTTCCACTCGAGGGCTTGACGCGCGATGTCACTCAACGGCCTCCTCAGCGAGTGTCCAATCCATCTCCACTTCCTCCTGCATATTTGTTGGGCGATTGGTTCCTGTTTCATTTGTTCCCATAGCTTCTTGTTTGTGATTCTTTCTGGCCATCTAATCTTCAGTATGGAGCGAAGACAGTTGTTGATAAAGGTCTGCAACCTGTTGAAAATATTCTTGGTGACCCGCCAAGTTTCTGATCCGTAAAGCAAAATTGACTTCACGTTTGTATTGAAAATCCGAATTTTGTTGTTGATGGTGAGTGACGAAGATTTCCAGATTGGTTTCAGGTTGATGAATGTGTTTCTCGCCTTCCCGATTCTCGATTTGACATCCTCGTCCGTTCCTCCTGTGGTTGAGACAATGCTCCCCAGATAAGTGAAAGAAGTAACCTCTTTCAAATCCCTCCTGTTGATGGTGATTGGCACTGGATGTTGCTGCTGTTGTTGGTTGGTTATTTTCATGACCTCCGTCTTGTCTATGTTCACCTGGAGTCCTGTCTTTGCTGCTTCTTCGACCAGTTTGTCGGTTTTTGCTTGTAAGTCTTCGATTTTGTGTGACATCAAACATAATCCATCCGCAAAATCCAGGTCTTCTAGGTTCTTCACGTCGGTCCAGGATATCCCTGTCTTCTCGTTTCCCACTGTCTGACGCATAATCCAATCTACCACAATTAGGAATATCATTGGTGATAATAAGCACCCTTGTCTGACTCCTGTGTTTACTCCAAACGCTTCGCTGAGTTTTCCGTTGTGGATCACTTGACATGTGCCGTTGTCGTACAGTTGTTGAATAAGGTTGATGAATATTTGGGGTACGCCGTAGTACTCGAGTAGTTTCCAAATTACTTCGCGGTCAACGCTGTCGAAGGCCTTCTCAAAGTCTATGAAGTTGAGGTAGAGATTTGATTGCCATTCCATGCTTTGTTCGATGATAATGCGTAGAGTTGCAATTTGGTCAGAACATGATTTGCCTTTCCTGAATCCAGCTTGTTCTGGTCGGAGTTCTGTATCCAGCGCGTCCTTGATTCTCTCCAGGATGATGCGACTCAGGATTTTACTTGGCGTCGACAGGAGCATGATTCCTCGCCAGTTCTTGCAGAGTCCCAGGTCGCCCTTCTTTGGTAGTTTCACCAGGTAACCTTTCCTCCAGTCAGTGGGCACCTTTCCCTCTTTCCAGATCTTTTGCAATAATGGAGTCAGCATATCTGCCGTCGTTTCTGGGTCCGCTTTCAGTGCTTCCGGGGGTATTCCATCTGGTCCAGCTGCTTTTCCAGCTTTCAGAAGCTTGATTGCATTCATGACTTCAGTTTTCGTTGGAGGATTGGTGTCAACTTGCAGTTGTGTACGTGCTGTTGTTGGTATTACTGGACGGGTTGTAGGTGGTGGTCGGTTCAAGAGTCCTTTGAAGTGGTCCGCCCATTGTTTAATCTGTCTTTCTTCTTTGGTAATTGGGTTCCCTTGGCTGTCTTTTATAGGTTTCACTTGTGTTGATCTCTTCCCGGATAGAGACTTGGTTATCTGATATAGTGTCCTCAGATCCCTTTTGCCTGCTGCCTTCTCAGCTTCAGTAGCCAGGTTGTCGTAGAATTGTCTTTTGTCCTTCCTGGCACTCTTCTTCACTTCTTTGTCCAGTGCTGTGTATGTTGAGCTCAGCGTCTCTTTCTCTTGTCCATCTTTGCATTGAATCATTTTTTCTTTCACCTTTCTCCTCTCCTCTATTAGTTTCCAAGTGTCTGTTGAGAGCCATTCCTTGTCTTGTTTCTTCTTTCTTCCTAAAACCGTTGAACACGTTTCGTTGAAAATTACCTTCAGAGAGTTCCAATGGTCTTCCACGGATGATTCCTCAGTGGTGCCACGTAGTGTTTCCTGCTTTGCTCTGACAGTTGCAGTGAAAATGTCCTGTGTGATTGTGTCCTTCAGTTTGTGAGTGTTGAACTTGCATTGTGGCTTATCCCCAGGTATCCTCGAGGCCTTCAGCTTCACCTTGAAAGTCCCTTGTACCAGATAGTGGTCTGAACCCACATCTGCTCCTCTCCTCGATCTTGTGTCCAGTAGGCTCCGTCTCCACTTCCTTGAGATTGAAATGAAGTCTATCTGGTTTTTGGTGTGTCCATCTGGTGAAATCCATGTTGCCTTGTGTATATCCCTGTGTTTGAACACACTGCCACCAATCACCAAATCATTGAAGGCGCAGAAGTCTGAGAAGAGTTCACCATTTCCGTTCATTTCACCGAGGGCCTCACGACCCATGGTGAGTTCTCTTCCTGTATTGTCTCCTCCCAGTTTCGCATTCATGTCGCCCATCAGGATTTTGATATCGCTCTTTGGGACGTTGTCCATTACTGTTTGTAGTTGACTGTAGAAATCCTCCTTCTTCTCATGTTCTGAGGCGTTTGTAGGCGCGTAGCACTGAATGATTGTAACCTTTTTTCCTTTTGAGTTGAACCTGGCTGTCATTATCCTGGAGGAGATTGGTTCCCACTGCATGAGAGCTTTAGCCGCTGTTGGTGACATCATGATGGCTACTCCCTCGGTGTGCTCGTGATTGTCCTCTGGGTGACCGGAGTAGATTATTGTCTCTCCAGTTGATAGTTGGCTCCTTCCACATCCGTTCCATCTGCTCTCGCAGATTCCCAACACTTCTATTCTATATCTCCTCATTTCTGCGGCTACCTGAGCAGCCTTCCCAGCTTCGTGCATTGTACGAACATTCCACGTCCCCATCCTTATTTTCGCTTTCATCGAAAGAAGGCACATCGGCTGACTGGCTTCCCGAAGGCTTTCACCAGCCCGCGTCATTTCACTTCCCCGATTCCAGCGAAAAATAAGGTTATTGTTTGTATTTTTAGAATTTTTAATATATTTGTGCGTTGAAGTTTTTGTAGCAATTTGGTTAAGTTTTGGGGGTGGAGTTGCTAGCACCACGCCCCAACCCTCCCTCTTTATCCGGGCTTGGGACCGGCTAGAATACTAGTGACCTAGTAATCTAGGCGAGGTTATATTTATTCATACTTCACAACTAAAAATCCATCATCGTTTTCAGTGGACCTCAAGTGTCTTCACATCGTCTAACTGTTTTTGAGTATCTTAGTAAATAAATAAATTGTAGGAAGTCTTACCTTTAGTATTACCTTAGGCTGTAGCTTTGGAGCGATGAAGCAAGTTAGAATCAAGAAATGAAACAAAAGTAAATCACTAATATGCAATCCGACAAAACCAACGATGCACAGAAGAGATGAACTCGTCAGGAAGTGTAGAAGTGAATTTCGATATTGAACTCGATGTACGAAAATACAGAAGTTTATCAGTACGTGACGCATATGAACCAGGCGTCTACAAAAGTTCCAATAACACCAATTATCTTCGTAGCTTGGGGGATTTGTGAACATCCTATGAATAGAGAAAATAGTTTAAATAGAGCTTACCTTGATAAAACTATAGGCCCGAAGTAGTCTGTCAAGCTGAAAAGCAGTCCCGAACAACCCACAACAAGCAGAACTGGAGGGTCATATATATGCAGTAGGAGAAACAAAATGGTGATTGAAAATATCACAAGCAGAGTCGATCGAAGACTTTTCCAATTCAATATATTCTCTAACTTCACAATTACACTGAACCAGTCTTGAAGATCTGCCATCAAAACCCTGACTTCCGGGTCTTCATTCACAATTCTCTCTACCTCCAAGACATCACGTGTTCTTACAGGACCTTTCATTGTTGGGAAGATAATCAGTACATTCAGTGATTTGTATCACTCCAACATTTCATCTACAAAATAGAATGATAATGTATATTAAGCAGTGGCAGTGTCACAGTACATTTCACTTCATTTAATACATTTGTGGTTGGAAAATTTTAACAGTCTTTTCTTCTCTTTCCCTCTCACATCCATCATTATAAGTTTTCATGTTTAGGCAACGACAGTATAATCCACTATTCATTTATATATGCCAGGCATATATAAGTGAATAGTAGATTGTACGGTCATCGCCTAAACATGATATGCGCCTAAGTTACTGAAAACTTATTATGATGGATGTGAGAGAATAACAGAATGTTAAAATTTTCCAACCACAAATGTATTAAATGAAGTGAAATGTACTGTGACACTGCCACTGCTTAATATACATTATCATTCTATTTTGTAGATGAAATGTTGGAGTGATACAAATCACTGAATGTACTGATTATCTTCCCAACAATGAAAGGTCCTGTAAGAACACGTGATGTCTTGGAGGTAGAGAGAATTGTGAATGAAGACCCGGAAGTCAGGGTTTTGATGGCAGATCTTCAAGACTGGTTCAGTGTAATTGTGAAGTTAGAGAATATATTGAATTGGAAAAGTCTTCGATCGACTCTGCTTGTGATATTTTCAATCACCATTTTGTTTCTCCTACTGCATATATGTGGAGTCCTCAAAAATAAAC